CAACTCCTGCTGATTTGAACAATGCGGATCCCAGGAAAGTTTGGTTCTTACCATTGGGAGCAGTTACGAATCCAAACAAACCTGGAAAGGTGCGCCTTGTATGGGACGCGGCGGCCAAAGTTTCTGGTGTATCGCTGAATAGTGTGTTACTGAAAGGGCCGGACCAACTAACGCTCTTGCCTGCCGTACTCTTCCGTTTTCGTCTTTACTACGTAGCTGTCAGTGCAGATATAGAGCAAATGTTCCATCAGTTAGGCATTCGATTATCCGATAGGAACTCGCTGCGCTTCCTGTGGAGTGAAACACCCGATGGACCGGTAGAGATTTACCTGATGGACGTTGCGACGTTCGGTGCCACTTTCTCGCCTGCGTCTGCACAGTATGTGAAAAATTTGAATGCTAAGGAACACATCCAACAGTACCCAAGGGCCGTCGAAGGGATATTGAAGAGTCACTACGTCAAAGATTACCTCGACAGCATTGGCAGTGAAAGTGAAGCAGAGAAGGTTTCAGCAGAGGTGCGACTGGTTCATCACAACGGAGGATTCCATCTACGAAATTGGAGATCGAACAGCGGAAAAGTCTTGGCGGAACTTGGGGAATCAGCGGTGGTAGACAGCAAGAACCTGTATGTTGATTGCGGTGAACAAGTGGATCGAGTACTCGGCATGCTGTGGTCATCAAGATCGGACGAATTGAGTTTCTCCACCCGTATGAGTGATGAAGTTAGGAACCTCCTGGACAGCGGCGCTCGGCCGACCAAACGTCAAGTATTACGATGCGTAATGTCACTGTTTGACCCGCTGGGATTACTCGCACCGTTCATAATTCACGGGAAGGTGTTAATCCAGGAATTGTGGCGGGCTGGAACAGACTGGGATGAAGCGGTAGGCGATGAAGTGTTTGAGCACTGGAATCGCTGGACAAGGATGATCGATTTCATTTCAACCGTGAAGATACCGAGGTGTTATTTTCCCAGAGCCACCACAGAAACGTACAAGGATGCTCAACTTCACGTATCCGTCGACGCCAGTGAGATTGCTTACTCGTGTGCAGCTTACATTCGAACGACCGTAGGAGATGGAGCACCTGCTTGTGTTCTGGTTTCCGGCAAAACCAAGGTGGCACCGCTCAAACCGATGTCCATTCCAAGGTTGGAGCTGCAAGGATGCGTTCTCGGTACACGTCTACTAAAATTCGTAGAAGACAATTATCCAATCACTTTCTCTAAAAGGTTCCTCTGGACGGACTCTACGACAGCGCGATCATGGATCCGGTCGGACCCACGACTTATAAGCCCTTCGTAGCTCATCGAGTAGGAAAGATACTGGAGAGTACAGATGTAAGCGAGTGGAGATGGGTTCCGTCCAAGCTTAAGCCAGCAGATGAGGCAACCAAGTGGGGCCGAGGACCTTACTTCGACCAGAATAGCCAATGGTTTGACGGGCCAGAAATCTTGCGACTTCCAGAAGAAGCCTGGCCAAAGGCGGCCGAGTCAACTGAATCTACTTCCGAAGATGTCAGACCGTCCGTGTTGTTCCATATCGTAGTTGAACCGGTACTGGACTTCGAACGATTTTCGTCGTGGAAGAGGATGCTACGCACCACAGCATACGTCAATATAGCTGCAAAAATCAGTGCGTTGTCTTTTATTCCTGTCGCAACAGAAGTAATAAAATAAGAGATGAACTAGCCTATGGCTAAAAATCTCTTTAATAAAGAAAAAAAAAAGAAGTAATAAAAAAACAATAATGATCGCTAAAAAAAGTGCAAATAAAATAAATCAAAATGAGCTATAACACGCAGAGAAAATTGACCTTATTGAACCAAAAAAAAAAAATATTATTGAAATATTTTGCAATGTCAAATTTAACTTTTTTTAAATTTAATATTTATATTTTGTAGCTTCAAAATTTTTTGTGTTGTTTTCATTGCAAATTCTGAAAACAAATATATTGTAGATTCAATAAAATATATTTATGTCTTCAAATATTATTTTAACTACTTTTTAAAAATATATTGTAAATTTAAAAGCAACACTTTTCCAAAACATACACAGGCTCATTTTGTCAATGTATGTGTGTGTTTTCAATGTCTGTGCATGCTCGGCTTCCCAGTCTCGTCGGAAGAAGTTCTTTTTGAACAAGTTGCTTTCTTTGTAAGGATTTTTTTTTTCCCCAATTCCAGCAAATCAATACACCGTGGAAACGTTGCCCGTTTCGGAACGCAAACTATTAATTTACAAACCGTTAATGAGAGGTCATAATTTCGGTATTTTTTGTATAATTGATAAACCTATTGAATCACTATTTGTACCGTTTGTTAATAAATAGAAAATGAAACCAAAAACAATTTTTAAATTTATTGAAAATTATTTCTCGAATAGAAAAACTGCTAAAATTAAAAATTAAAATATTTATGCCAAACCAATTTTATTTTTAAATTATTAAAAACAATTTGTTATTTGCAGCAATTTTTGTTTTTTTTTTTAATAAAAAAAGTTATTGTTGGTAGCAACTTATTTTTTTTATCAAAAAAAGATTTTGTCTGTTTGAAAATAAATATTGTAAATTCAACAAAATATATTTTTAATTGCGTTTTTGACAGATTTTGAAAACAACAATATTTTATGTCCGAACAATAAAGATTTATTGTTGAATTCAATAAAAAAAGTTATTAGCCGGGGAATGATAATTTTTGTTGTTGTTTTTAATACATAATATCATTGAAATTAAAAAACTTTTTTCTGCGTGAATAAATAAAAAAGTAAAGATTTTTACAGCACCAGTCGTACAAAGTTTTGAATAAATACGACGAGTGCTGAATAAATCGAATTTTATAACTAATTGCATACACAATTCTTAACACTCAAAAGAGTGTCCAAAAGTAGAACTTTTCCGCACTGGATGATGGAAAGTAGTACTTTTTGACACTGTTATTTTAGTTATGAAAAGTAGGACATTATGTTATTCAAAACAGTGTCAGAAAGTGACACTTTTCAGTAATGATTCTTTTCGGCACGCTTTTGAGTGCGGGAAAGCAACTTTTGCGCACGTCTATTTTAGTTAGGAAAAGTAGGCTGTTAAGTTACTCTACCACGTGATGCAAAAATAGGTATTATGATGCGGAATTGAGACAAAATATTTTCTATTGTGACTTTTAAATTTTCAATTGCTATTTTACACTTTCCATTTTCAATAGTTTATTGCCCTTGAGTATGCAGCATTATTTTACATCAAACTATAGGAGTTTTCCCATATTTTAGTGATCGTTTATTAGGCTACCAAAAGAAATTATCAACAATATGCATAGATTGTAAACATTTTCAATAATTATTCGTTTTAAATAATCGCTTGAATCCAATTGATACTTTGAGGGTAAAATGAACAATTCACGATGGGGGTAAAATGAACAGTGTTCATTTTATTTCCAGCATCACAGGTTCATCAGGGATGCTAATTTTACTCCCAGTAGATGTTTAAATTACTGCCACTGTACGTTCATTTTGGCCCCATTTCATGTTCATTGTATGCATAAAATCAGCATTTTATTTGGAGTTGAGGAAAATACAATAATTATAATGAAAACACGTTATTTTGGATATATTGCTACAGTCTACTGTTTAGCAAATGAATGGAAGCTTTACTCTATTTGAAATATCCAACATGTTATTGGGTTATAAAAGATAAATCGGTTGAATTGCTTAGGGTTTTTATTTTTAGGGTATTTCTTGTACCCCTACACAGTTGAAAAAAGTAGTGTAAATTTCCGTTGCTATGATGCACATAAATGGAGCGTCATATATCATACAAGTTTACATTATAGATCGTGTAAATTTATGAGACATGTCATGCAATATTACATATATTGTATGTAACTGTCCACCTTTGTTTGCCACATTTCTTGCAAGCTGCTAGGTTACATGAAAAATAAGTTTACATCCATCAATGTTTGCATACAAAGTAGTTCACATCACCAGTAAAATTCAGAATTTTTTTCTGTGTATGAAAAATCGACTTTTATCAAAAATATCTTCAGGGCTACCTTTATTTGTTACATCCTTGGCTATCGTTTGGATGGTGCTTCCTCAGGTTTCCAGATAATGTGTATTTTGCACAACCTTGATTATTTCCCACTAAAAGGCCATTTGTTCATTTCGTCTCTGTTCTCCTGGATGCTTGGAACGGTTTTATTATTTTTTAAATGGAAAATTAAAAGCTTTCATGATATAAAAACTGTTAACTGTACCTTATTTTTTTTTTCTTGATTTGTTTTACGTGCTGAGCACCAATGCTACTGACACTAGGGAGGCAGCTCCTTCACCTGGACCCTACCTATCGACCCATCAAACTCATGAACTGGGGACCAACGCTTTACTTCCCTTCCGAAGGAAGGCATGATCAGAGATGTTATGCCTCAGAACATCCCGGCGGCGCCGACTGGGATTGAACCCATGCCTGCTGGGGCGAGAGGTAATCTCGCTTACCACTACACCACCGGTGCCACTCAACTGTACCTTAAGCTATGATAACCTCATTGATGATAATGAATGTGCTACTATTTGGTAAACCCAAAATGCAGTCAACGTCAAAATTTGATGGGTATTTGGGCCGAATAATCGGTACAGCTATAAATTTTATTGTATTGAGAGTTATTCACAAATACCATTGAAACAAATATATTGAAATGTATAAATATAAAGAAGCTAATAATAATATATACATTTTAGAATCCAATTGCTAAGTTTTTGCATTTGCACCAGTAATATTTTAGATTTCGTAATATTTCGTGAGGGAATGCAATTTTTTTTAGTTATCCGAAAGAATCATGCAATAGAAGAATTCTTTTTCTTATTTACCAATAGAAACTCAAAAGTCAATCCAGAGACGAAAAACCACATTTTTTCATTAAGTTAAAAAAAACCTCTAGATAGTAAAATAAACAAAGGACTTTGATTACTAGTTGTAGAATGTTTAATGAAGCTGTAACATTAAATTATATCACAAGAAATCTTTTTTATACTTCTTAAGCACTCCTCTCCAAAATTCCACCCGTTGCTCACATGGATTGTAAACCATTTTCGTCTCAACGTCGATGTTCAAGCAATCTAGCTGAAAAATATCCATATCACCATCACAGGTCTTAACTGGTAGCCATTCGCATTCCTTAGAATCGCCTAAGACGGGTTCCCCATATTTTGCAAAGCTCGTCCACAGCTGTATGAATGTATTTTTTACTTTCTGCTCGTCTGAATGTTTTGAGAGTTGAGAAATGAACCCAGGTCTGAAAAGTTTGGAATCGTGTTAATTCAAATTCTATTGATTTAAATATTCAATTACTTACTTGAAAATATAGAATGCATCATCACCATGCCATGTTCCTCCAATGCCTTTCATTCCAAGAACACGGTCCATGATTCCATACCGGCCAGCGAAGGTAAAACGATAATTATAGTGCCTCACCCTGGGTTGATACTTTGAAATCCATTCCGTGGCAACCATTTGATGGGCTGCAAAATCCACGTCTGTCATCAAGTCACTAAGCTCCCGCAAACTGTTGCGATCGATGCTTTTATCTCCAAAATAGAATTTTTTAATTGCTGCAATTAAATCGTCTCGATCTGCAATATCAGCATCCCTCACCAGTGTTGAGATCAAGTAGTGTTCTGGATTGTCGTTAATATGTTTCAAACGGTTAAGCAGCAAGTACACGGACAAACCACCTTCAGTATCAGCACCTCCGGTGATCATTGGCATGTCGAACGTGTCATATCTTTTGAGAATCGTTTCAGGGGTTTCAGTGAGGACGCTGTCTTCGTTGGCTACGGGCTCTACACACGCTCGAAAGTAGAACTTGTAGGTTTCGTATTGGTCCTCTGTGCTGCCGACTTCATTTTGCAGCTTGACTAACCGATGAGCTGGGGCTCGCATCAAGACATCTGAAAACAGTATTTTTACTATTGGGTTGGCTGCAGTTTTACAAACTTGATAAACAAATTTTTATGTATTTTATTTATTATCACTATTGAAAAACTAATATTCCCGTATATCAACATTAATGATACCGTTCCATAAGTATTAATTTTTCAAAAATGATCAAATAAAATACATACCGTAATGCACCGAATACCAGATCGTTTAATTATCCGTTTAGTTAGTATTGCGTCTGCTTTACAAAATAATAAAATTTGCTATGTCGTATACCAGACGTAATATTCAATTAAACATGTTTTATATGTGTTCTAATTTTAAACGAAACTAAGAGACCAGATAAAATTACCAAGCTATTTTAAGCATGGTAGGCAAATCAGCTTTTAAAACTATCTGGACTTGTGAACTAAGTGTCCGGAATTCGATGCTTTACGGTATACATAAAACAAATACGACTTATTGTTCAAAGTGGTTCAAAAAATGAGAAATTAATGTTATTTTTTAAATTGTTTGAGCTGAAAGTCGTTGCTGTTTAATCGGTTCATAATCTTTCTCTGTTGGTTTCTGTAACATCATATCGCACTTTGGTTTTGTACATCTGTGGATATCCGTGGTTTAGTCAATTTATAGATGGTAAATGCAGTTCGGACTTCCGGATACACTGACGCGATTGGTCAAGGTGACGATGGGTCGAGTGATGTGCGTTGTTCGAGTATCGGGGACACTCTCGAGTCCCTTTGAATCTCGAAGGGGGCTACGGCAAGGTGATGGACTTTCGTGTCTGCTATTCAACATCGCGTTAGAAGGTGTGATCAGAAGAGCTGGGATAGACACGGGTGGCACGATCTTCAGGAAGTCCATCCAGTCTCTTGGCTTCGCCGATGACATCAACATCATGGCACGGAGCTTTGAGATGATGGCGAAAACGTACACACTCAGTTTTTACTGCTGGAAACCAGCAAAATTTTGCTGGATTCTGCCGAGCTGGAAGTTCAGCAATCCTTCCAGCAAAATATTGTTTGCTGGATGACCAGCAATTTGGATTGACGTCAAAGTGACAACACATTACTGAAAAATCAGCAATCTTTACTGAATGTACACTGAAGTCTTTCCACGATTTACACGGTACGTTTTTAACGATTTCTCGACAACGATACATCCTATCGACTTGATTCCAATCACATTATCCGTTTCAAGCTATTTGTAATCGAATGGCATACTTAAAAAAAAATCACAATTTTTGGTGTAAATACAGAAATTTTTAAAATATGTCTATATGGACCATATCATGCTTTAATTACGAATGGCATCAAAATCCGATTTTTTAAAAACATTTAAGCATGCGAAAAATCAAAATCTCGTAGGTTTTTTTTACACGGTTTTTTTTTACACGGACCGTATCCCCCGTGTAAAAAAAGATCTGAGTGTACATCAAAGTTGAGTACCAACCTTTTTGCTGGAATTTCAGCTAGTTTTATTTACCGATTATCTTTTCGTTTAAGAAACAAATAAATAGATTCTTGAATTTCATACACTTGATAACATCAATTTATTACACCGTTATGTTGATTAAATACCCCTTTTATCGCTGATTATGAACCATCAACGGTCATTTATAAAAGCCAGACAGGGTATACATCTGTGCTTATATTTTTAGAGATGAACCAGCCTAAGGCTGAAAGTCTCGTTAATAAAGGAAAAAAAAAATCTGTGCTTATTGAACAAGTTTATCTTGCATCTGTAAGGCATATAGGGAGTTGTTATTTTTTGATGAAACACAACGATTTTATTATTTATTCAATATTTACCTGCATTTTCTTAAATTGAATCAGAGGATTTACAAGAAAAACACCTTGCAGTATGTACTCCATGGAGATCGGAATGAAAATCGATTAACAGTTTGACAGTTCATAAAATTCACTGAGCTTCCAGCAAAATGAGCATGTTTGCTGAATGAACAGTAAAATTTGTATTTGCTGAAAACAAACCAGCAAATCATTTTGCTGGAACTCGATTTCAAAATTTGGTGTGTACATCAGACGGCTGAAGCTAGGTGGATTGGACTTGCCATCAACGTATCGAAGACAAAATACATGACAGGAAGAGGTTCTAGAGAAGAAGAATGCCGAACGATGACCCAGTGAAAATGGTTCTCGAAAGCGACCCTACAGGAACAAGAAGAAAAGGTGCGCAGCGGACAAGGTAAATCGACCAAGTAGAAGGCGCTCTGCGGACCCTTCGCAGACTACGAGGCTGGCGAAGTGTGGCCATGGATCAAGTAGAGTGAAGACGACTTCTTCGGACATCAGAGGACATCAAGGTCTTACCGTGATTGGTAAGGTACATTTTGCACATTTTGACTGCAGAGTTGTCACAACTAAAATGTATGGGGGCATTACAGGCATTTCTTCCATTAACAGCAAACAGATCCAACCGGCGAACAGATTGCGGAAATGCGAACAATGTGAATAGTGGCATCGATTGCGGAAATGCGAACATGTAAAAATCCAACATATACAAATGATATGTGTGGAACCCATGCAGTAGACTGATGCAAAATTTGAAAATTTTGTTCCACAGTTCTCAAAAGGTTCAAAATTGGGTCCTGAAACTCATTTGGTTTGGATATGACAAGTTGAAGTTATATTTATATTACTATGGGAGATCCAAAGATTATAAAAAAAATGGTTTTTGCAATATTAAAACGATGAAATCTCGTATTATACTTGATAAGATTGTTTTCCATTTTAATTCAACTACTTTTATATTACTTTTACTTTCACTAATTCACTATTCACTTTCATTATTTAATTTCACTATCACTTAAAAAAAATATATCAGAAACGTATTTCATTTACTACCGACAAACTTATTAAGTGTCTAGTCATCGAAATACGTATCTGTTATAGTTTATTTTTAAGTGATAGTGAAAGTGGATAGTTTAGGTAAATAGTGAAAGTAAATAGTGAAAGTGAATAATGCAAGTGAATAGTGCAAGTGAATAGTGCAAGTGAATAGTGAAAGTGAATAATGAAAGTGAATAGTGAAGTGAATAGTGAAAGTGAATAGTGAAAGTGAATAATGAAAGTGAATAGTATCAGAAATAACCACGCTCGGGAAGCAGGGTTATTCGCTTACTTTCCATCTATCACTTTTGATCACGAGTTAAATTTAACTAGCCAATTGGGACACAGCCTAAGTAGAGATATTCAACATATTCCATATTCCATGAGAAATTAATTGGACATATTAATTTAAGATATTTCAGATAATCCTCATCAAGTTCCTAGGTGCTTCAAATACTTGTTGGGAGAATAAACCAAATTGAATTACAATTTACACACTCAGCTATGTTTTTCTTTTTCGGTAATTTATTAACAACATAATTGGTAAACGAAGAATATTGCAGGTTTTTCGGCAATCTAAATTATCCGAACCAACCTTCGGTAAATTTCTGATGAATCTGATTATTAAATTATCGGAGCCTGTGAAAAATTACAGAACGAATTGCAAATGGGGCAAACACCGTTCTCAGTTAAAAAATAAATTTCATGCCGACAGATCAGAAAGTGGCTATGTTTATACAGGACCGTACAAAAGTATGTAATATCGTGATTTTTTTCCATCCTTCAGAAAATAATCAATGAGCTGTATCTTTTCAGAACATATAACGTAATTTCTCAAATTTCGGTTGATGGTTGACCAACTATTCAATATTTATCGCTAACTAGGCTTTCTTGAATGAGTTTACATGAAGTTTGAGAATTCTAGTAAAACGCATCTTATTTGACTGCCCTTTTGAACACTGATATTTCTTTAAATGCGATGAGCCGAATCAACTGAAATGTTGTACATTTGTATTATTGACCCAAATTTCACGAAAAAGACAAGTTATAGCAGTTTGATTTTGTTTCACCATGTAAAAAATAAGGTCAATTTATATCATAATTTTAAAATCCAAGATGGAAACTTCGGTAGCTCAACAAAGGATCAACTGCACTATAATACAGGTATCCTTGGACCGGGGATAGCAAAAAGGATGGGAGCGTGTATCAAACATCTTTTTTTTTATTATTATAGTCACTTTAACGCTCTTTGGTCATTTGTGACTTGTCCCGGGTGAGATTTGAACTCGTTACTTTGTCGTGAGAGGTATGGATGCTAACCACTACGCCAAAGTCGCCCCCGTTAAAGATTAATATTTTCACTACACATGTGCTATCCTTTAGTTGATTCAGTTCATTGTACTTCAAAAAATAATAGTTTGAAATAGGCAATCAAATAAAAAGCGTTTTACTTTAGTTTCAGTTGTATTTTAGCGTTGTCTATAACTTTCTAGAACACCTCAAAGTCGAAAAAGTTATAAAAAAAAATTTACCACTTTTAAGGGGTTGTCGACAAATAACGTAACATATCTCCAAAAGTGAGCAAGTTACGGTTTAGGTGTCTTGGACAAAGTTATTCAAAAGCATGATTCCTCGAACTTTTGTGAAGACACCAACCCTGTATATTGTAAAATTGAAAAAATAAATTTTCTAACTCACTGTAAGGGGGATTAATCCTTTAACTGAAAAGCCCAAAAGCAGCACATACATTTACTGATAAACTTCTCAGAAGACCCTTAAACCCTTAAATATCAAAATAAAGATGTTATTAATTAAGCGCACAAAAACGACGATTTCAACCACTGTGCGTCGGTAGCATTTGTGCTCAGCACGGAAAACAAGATCGACGGAAAAAAAGCAAAGGAAAAAAAAAACATTGTTAGACATTGAAAAAGCGTTTGACAATGTCTGGCATGATGGTCTGGTGATCAAGTTGCATCGATACGGTCTTCCGATCTTTCTTGTGAAGATCATACAAAATCATGTATCAGACAGGAAGTTCCAGTTCTCTCTGAATGGAATCACATCGGATGCCTTCAATATCGGTGCAGGAGTGCCCCAAAAAAAGTATCCTTGGGCTTATCTTGTTCAATCTATTCACCTCCGATATTCCGGATCGTTGCTCTATTAGCAGACGACACATGTTCCGTCTGAGAATAACAAATCGTGGGTGTGAATAATCAATTTTATTTGCTCATATTGAATCTGGCACGAATTGTGACAACACTGATAGAGGAGCATTCAAACACCAACTACCGTCAAAACATTACAAAATCGACCACCAGTGCTGCTATAAAATAAAAACATAATCTATCTGGTCCACACTGTACTTCTATACCACACATAAACAACATCAGAAATGCTTCAAACACATCACATGACAGTTACATTAATCAATTCATACAATTATTTTTATTCCGGTTGCCGTAACGTCTACGTCTTCTGTTTTTTTGACACAATGACTAAATTAGTTAGTCTCACTGATTAATTTGCTACTTACCCAGTGCATCCTTATCTGACGATAATTCACTCCCCTTCACTAAATGAGCCAATTTTCGTGATTTGGTAACTGGATCTGCTTGCAAATATGGTAGTGTAAATCCCGTACAACTCTGGCTTATCACTCGATGAAACAAATTTCTGCAATTGAACAATACATCATCTTAATTGCACTAGCCACACCATCTGGGGAAAGTTACCTTGAATTAACGGACAAATAATGTATCTGTCCAGAAATGGTTCCTGCACTGACACCGAATAAGGTAACATTGTTTGGATTTCCACCAAAACGTACGATATTCTGCTGCACCCATTGGAATGCAAGCCGCTGCGTTTGGAACAGAACTGTTATCACAAATTTAAGCATCAGTCATATAACACTATCCCACCTGATCTTTCAATCCCATGTTTCCATAAATTCCTTCACTTGGTAGGCACAAAAATCCAAGCGGTCCAAGGCGATAATTAAATGTCACAACGATGACTCCTGATTGAACTAAGTCTATTGGATCATAGATGAAGCTATCTCCTGAGCCTTCTTGAAAACCACCCCCATATAAGAAGATCATCACTGGCAGATTAGGTGCTGTGTTCATTCGATCTGGAAGCTCTGGTGAGTACACATTCAAATAGAGACCGTCCTCCGATCCCAGAACGACGTCGGTGAGGAAATTCAACTGAATGAATTCGTTTCGATGCACAGAACAATCAATCATTGCACTCTCATACTTTTGAATTGGAACAGGCGGTTGAAATCGAAGTTTTCCGATTGGTGGTTTGGCATAAGGTATACCCTTGAAGAAATGATATGCTTCTCCATTTGGTAGTCTTTCGGTTAACCCTCGAACTTTTCCAGCTGAAAGTTGTACCGTTGGTCGCCTGTATCCGAAATAGTACTTTTGCCACAAGCTTTTCAGACGGTACTTGATGAAGCAAATTAGAATCACCAAGCCAAGTTTAATTTTTGCAAGCGAATCCATTTTCAGAACTATGCGCGACTAGATCACATCACTGAATGTGTAGATCCTATCGCAGATGCTATTGACCAGCTAGAACGTATAGAAGCATGTGCTTAATTGTGCGAGAACACCGGTTAATTGTGGTAGATTGGGTTCCGGAGTTTGGAGTTTCGTTGACCAATGCAGAAAAAAAACCGGTTCACTCAGTGCGTTAGTACATGGTAAAAAAGTATCTACTTATCAGAGAAATGTATGTCACTAACGTCGTCTTTCAAAGTGGTAGACCGTGACTACTCGGCAGCGACATCTCAAATCGAAAAGGTTGGTGCTGTGTTTGTCGACGAAAATTGTTAACCTTAACCTAGTATCGTTCTATTAATGCATTTTAACTTACCTTATTTTCAATGCATGATAGTAATGTTTTACAAAATCTTCTAAAGTTTAAATTACAGCTAATAATCCTAAAAATTGTATGATGTAAAATAGGAAATATGGTTTCATACCTTTGCGCATAAAAAAATATAATAGTACCAGGACAGGGTCTATCCACAAACCACTGAGGCCCATCAAATAAAAAAATATGTAATATCGACAATCGGCCATGCAGGGAGACTACACGGGCTGGTCTAAAATCTTACACAAAATGGCCAAAATAACCACCATAACTTTTATAAAAATGACAGGAATTTTCCCATTACATTACTTTTTGAAAGCAATACGCTGCAGCACATACTTAGTGGCATTTTTATTTTTTTTTTATCTAAGTAGATCATCAGAAAGATCAGAAAGGGAACCAGTGAATTATGCCCTTAGTTAGTCCCATTTTAAAACCCAAATAACCTGTAAACCCAAATACAGTTGAGTTTACAAATCTGTAATGTCTAGCTCAATGAGTGAAAAACTATCCCGCTTCAGTGGAAATCACTCATTTATGTTTATGATTTTAATTTTTATTTACACTGAGGAACTATTTGAATCAATGTACAGTACCCGTTTTCGTTGATGTTGGACCAACATGAGTCATCGTGCCAAAAACGAACGATCATGTGGTTTTTGTTGCCAAAATCGAACATAGTATATCTGATGTGATTGATAGATTTTATTTAATATATTCCCATCTCAATTTAATAGGTACAGAAACATATATCGTGTACATTGCGGTTCATGCTAAGAAGGCAGTACTACTAACCTTATTAACGACCACCTAAAGCAAAACCAGTTTATGTTTCACGTGTGTCTCAGTGAACTGCTACTGTTGAAGCAGATACCTGGGTAGAATTGATAGAACTACATTTACCTATGAGCAACCATTGGATAAAACAAATTTAATGAGATATAAGATGCTGATCGGGCACGATAGAACCCATCTTTCACTGCGTTCTGATCGGTATAGGGGAAGATGGGGTAAGACCACCACCCTAAACAATACATTTAGTAGCTCAAAATTAGCACAATTTGCTATGCTATGCTATACATATATGTATTAGCGTTACCTATAGAAAAAAAATTATAACATTTTGTGATTTATCACATTTTTCATACTTTAACAAATAGATTTTAAATTACTCCATGCATGAAGTTAACGATTTTCATAATTGGAGATGCTTATCGTCAGATATCAGACTTAAAGTGGTCATTTTATATGGTAGATGAGGAGATGAAAGTATTGAGTTGATAGTTCCGTTAGAGTACGGCAGTGTGAAAATTGTATATAGAGAGTAGAAAGCGAGCAAAGGTCAATTTCGAGGAAGGCACGTATCGGGTTAATCATATTTAATGTTTTTTCGTCCATTTTTTGAATGTTTAAAATATTCGTTTTTTTTACAGGCGGGGTAAAAAAAACCACCAACTATTACGGGATTTCCGGCAACCACGGTATCAAATTGAGCGCAACAAGCACCAAATGATAGGTGTTATGGTTACATGGATCACAAATGGATGTCTTGGTATCGGTGAACTGGTTCCGAACGGTGAGCAGAGGTCCGGTGAGCGCAGGTCTAGAAATGATCAAAAACGTTACAAACTCATAATGTGATACATCAAATTGCATGAGAATTTGAAAATATGACAAATGAGTAATATTGAGTGTCCAGACCACTCCTGGACATATTTCGAGTACCCTCGAGGAAGTGGTCAAAATCATATTGAATCAAAACCCATCAAATCACTCGACCCAGCATACACGTCAAATCACTTGAGAATTCAAAAGCATTGTCATTGATGGATACATTATGTACGGTGCACCAAATTGGCTATACACGGATGTTCCGGATAATACTTTGGAATATAAATTATTAAGAATGGTCACATCTCGCCATAGGTGAATTAATCGTGGGTTTTATTCTTGATTACAGCAAAAAATCACTTGAATATCAATTAAATTTTGGTCTGGAAAATATCTTTTCAGTTTCAATCAAAGCACTACGTAATAAGGGATCGTCCATTAATTATGTCACACTTTTAGGGGGGAGGGGGCTTTTGGAAACTGTGACGAGCCATACAAAAAAAAAATTAGATCGATACAAAAAATGTGACAAAGGGGAGAGGGGGGTTGAAAATGGGCCAAATTTGCGTGACATGGACCATCCCTAAGAAGTGGGGCTTATTTTTAAAAATTGTTTGGGGACATGTTTTCCCATATAGACAGGGGTTATTTGGACTAATTAAGTAACATATCAAAGTTTGAGCTTATTTGGTTGAAATTTCGAGGTGGCGCAAGTGGTCTTAGTCCAAAATGTTGAACCATGTACTTTTTCAATTAAAATATATGCTTCTATATAAGTAAACACGTGAATTAAAATGAAGTACAATATTGATGCTGAATGGCATTTTTGCAACTTCGCATGACAAGGGACCATGTGATGCAATTGGTGGTAAATTGAAATGAATGGCAAGAAACGCAAGTGTGGCATCCACACACAAGTGTAATAGAGTGGTATGAATGGTCTGACCACAAAAGTAATAATTATTCAACAAAAATGTAATTTTGTTTTGTGTCACAAGATGAATGCGAACAGTGAGCTGAAGAATGGTAAAAATGATCCCAGGTACACGGAAATATCACTCTTTTGTTCAAATTGTCGAAAATAAAACATCAGTGAAACTGTTTTTGAATAACGCAGCATCCATAACATATAAAAACCAAACGTTCTTTAAATAAAAATATCTCCAACGAAAAGGTTTATGTGCAAATAATTATCATTCTAGACCCAGATGCAAACAAAAACGCAATGGTATTTCATTTTTTATAAGTTTAAAACCAATTTTCCAATTGTCTATTGATGGAAAGGTAATCTGAAGGTGTGTATATCTTGCAAAACTAAGCATTGTTGATGGAGAATCACGAATAAATTTCGAAAAGGGCATATATTCTGAAATTATTTAATTATGATGAAACCCTATTTGAGATATATCGAAATCGGTTAAACTTAGGTAGCGTGTTGATATTAGCATTATCGCTTACAATGATTTTCATAATCATATTGTGTCATCAAACTGTACTTTTTGTTGTAAATAATTAAAGTTTACAAAATGCCACAAAAGTTGCTCTTAGTAAAACTTTTTTTAGGAAAAGTTGCTCCATCCTGCAGTTGCTTTGAAAATGTTCACTTTTCTTAAAGATTAAAAAAAACTAAATTTGTTTTTAAGTCATTTGAATTTTAAGGTTCACTTTTATTTAATTTTTTGCTATCGAAAGAAAATCAGTGTGCATTTTTTTTTTCGCATAAAGCCTAATAAGTTTCTTACAACTATTCTTTAGTCATTTTTTTTCTCTTTAACCAACTGTTTCCATACTACATATTTTTTAAATAAAGTTTGTTCGAAAACACATAAGCCTTTTCAAAAAATTAGTCTTGAGTCAAAATTGTCTTCTCTCCTGCGGATAATAGGGGTAATGGATATAATGTCAGCCTAAATGTCCCTTATTTGGGCCCATACATAAATTCAGCAATCGACTAGATTTTCAATGGCGGCCAAAAATATCCATTAGTACCGTCCCAATGAAGTGTTCATCTAGATAAAATTGATAAATAGCAGATTTTTAGCGATGGGCCCAATCTTAGATCCATAGGCCAACATTAGAGCCGTTTCCCCTATTTGGTGTATCATACTGAAAATATGTGCCATGTGTTATTCAGATCGCAGATAGCCGAGTTCGGTGACCGACCGTTGTGGTGGGGAATCGGTCTTTAGCAAGTTGGTGTGCCTTTTTAAATAGGTGAAACGCAAGAAAAATATTTTATTCAGGTTTATGAAAAATATTTAACACATACTATATAAACGTCTATACGATATCAAAAATAATACGCAAAGTTACACACAAAATTCATGTAAATTTCGGTGCTTTGAGGCTGACATATACGAGCGTCAATTTTGACATAAAGTTGAGTCATAACTGACGCGAAATTCAATTCAATCAAACGTAATTTTCGTCAAGTATTGAACTTTTCAGTCTCTTTATTAGTTATTTCTAAGTATGTACAATATTGAACCAATGTTTTCAGGTGAAATAATGCAGAAAATTAATTTAATCAATATATTCTACCATCAAAGTTACCCGCATATCATATTAACGTTTTATAAGATCCAGAAATGAACAATTATTTTTTTCTAAGAAACATACTGCCAAGTGGGCCAACCCCTACTCCCAAGCACCTCCCCTTTTCCTATCCTTCGACAATGTACCCCTCTAACCTCGAGTAAGCCGCGAGTATTCGGCCCAACTCCTACTAGACATAGAATTAAGTGAATTTTGTTACAAACAAAGAACAATGAACTATCGGCTCCGTAAAGCTAACGCGATTGAGCCTTACAAATAAACGAACTAGATAAAAAAGTGGGCCAAGAACCTGTTTTGATAATATTTATAATTTTATTTTATCACATCCTACGTACTCTTTATTCTTACATACAACAAGTTCATTAAGTTATTGAGGTTTCTTTTATTTAGGAATAAGCAATTGAAGAAAGATTTACTACATTGCATAAGACTAGTAAATTGAACGGATACCACCAAACAAGATATATATTTTTTTTTCGTTTAATATTTTACAGTAATCCACGCCTGTGTGTGCGTAACAATCTTCTCCAAAACTGCATTCGCTCCGGGTATGGATCCTCTATCATTCTAGGATTGACATCAATTTCCAAACAGTCCAATTTGAACGGAGACGAACCATTGTTTATTTTTTCAACCGGTTTCCATTTGATATTCAAACGGGTGTCATGATCCGGTGTAGGTTCACCATGTTTTGCGAAATTAGTCCACATTTTGACGAAGGTCCTTCGAATAAAACATTCTTCACTTTCTTCAGGGAGTTTCGGTAAGTAAGGTGGACTGAGAATCAAATTACTATAATTATTAAAAACAAGATATGGTAATTATTTTGCACCTACCTAAAGATATAGAAAACGTCATCACCATGACAGGCACCTTTCACATGTGCCTGTTTAAAAAGCTTTTTCGTGAGACTGAATCGCCCATCGTAGGTAAATCGATAGTGATAATGAGGAACCTTTGGCTGGTACTTGGCAATCCATTCTGCATTGATGACGGAGTTCATAATGAAGTAATTGTCCGCCATAGTATCATTCAAGTGATCGCTAGCAGCTTTGTCTACTGATTTGTCACCGAAGTAGAATTCTCTTATTTCCTTTCCCAGTTCCACTCTGTCGTAGTCACCTGAAGAGCCCATGAACAGAGGAACAAACCGTTCCGGTTCAGTGCTGGCCAAGTGAAATTTTCCGTTCATTAAAAACAGAGACAGAATGCCTTCTCCACTGTTGCACCCGTCAATTATAGGCATTTCGAAGCTCGATGATGTTTTTATAATTTCCTCTGGGGTACGCGTGATGATGCTATCATCAGAGTCCAGATCTTCAATCACCGGCATGAAAGCGAAATGAACGCCCGACCGTTTCTCTTCTCTGGTAAGCACTTTGTGCTGATGCTTGATGAGGGCACTTGCAGGCGCTTTCAGTAAAGTTTCTGAGAAATACAACGAATGTCAGCAGTTACGCAGTTAAGGGGAGATGCACATATTGTGTCACGGTTGATGGGGGAGGGGGGTGTTAGATTTTGTGACATGCAATGCATTAGGTATAGGAACTACGTGAGGAATAGTGGAAAGGGTGACAATTTATTTCTCAATTTAGTGTGACATAATTAATGCATGGCCCCTAAAGTCGACGATAATAAACCTACCCAATGCTTCGTCGTCTGAGGTGCCATGATAGCCGAGCAGTTTCGCTAGTTTTCGAGCTTTCTCGTTGCCAGATGTTTGGAAAAATGTTTCAGTAGCAGGAATTCCACTTTGGCAAATTATGCGATTGAAGTATTTCCTGAAATTTCAATATGAAATGGATTAAGTTAAACATTTGAGTGTGAGCTGGTTTTTATTTTCTCACAAAACTGTTTTCAATTGCGTGCTGATTGTTTGTAAACAAAAGTCCCAAATAGGAACTAATTGTAACGGGTATGGGTTAAAAGGGATTAAGTATGGGAATGTGATGGGGCATGAGAGGAATAGATGATACAGACAGATTTAACGATATAAAGACAGAGCCATATTAAGTATGTTGTGTTTATTTTTCATGTATACACAAACATACGCATTGAATAAACTAATTTCTTATATTGGGTAATTGACGGCATCGCTAATACCCTTTCCTGTTATGTTCGAAGGGTAAAGAAAGCGCTCAATTTTGGCTAAACGGTGGTCTGCATCATAATGTATTAAATACTAAAAATGAATCATTGAGTCTTCATTTTCGAGGGATAATAGTTAAGATAATAGGAAAGGGTATTGCAGAAGCCGTCAATCACCCTACTACAAATCAACTACTTTTTAAAGAACAAATCAATGACGTATAACCTAACAGTCATTAGAATATCTATAAATAATGGTTCCCCCATGCAAAATAACACCAACATCAGGAGTAAAGAGCGACATATGATTTGATCCGTTGCGGGAAATATGACAGTTTGCTTTGATTGATTTGCTGTCACATTTCAGCATCGTATCAAATCAAAATGCATTTTAGTTTGGCTTGGTTTGGCTAGTTTGCGTGAGCGAGAGAGTAGTGTTGTCAAATTTTAATTTTGTAGCTATCGTTTATAAATGTTTATGTTTATTTATGTATGATATAAAGATACTCTATATCACGTAATAAAGGCTGTAGTGTGAACGTGGTATTAAACACATACTTAACAACCTCATCTTATAACTTACAAGTACATAATATAATTATAACATCTAATGATTTTATAATTTCAAAAAACATTTTTTATAGAAAGTGAGAGGAAGCAACACTGCTCACAAGTGACGACCGTGACTGGATCTGGAGCAAATCTGGACCGTTACTTAAATCTGGAGCTAATTATGACAACATCAGGAATGAACTAAATATTAATAATTGGCAAACAGCGTTGAAGAATAAAGGAAATGTCGAGAGTGCAACTGATGTATTCTACAATATATTATGTAATTTAAAAAGATGAAGATGTCAAGTTCATTCAAAATATCCAGTTTGGTTCAACAGGCAAAAAGCACATAAAGTTTAAAGGAGCAAAATAGTCATGAAAATATGAAAAACTATTTGAATATTTGCGATCAACTTAATTTGGCTATGAATAACGCATTTGAGGAGTATAATTGAAAAACTGAACATGAAATTAAAGCTTGTAAAAATAACTTTTTAAGTTATGTGAAGACCAAATTAAAATCTGACAATTTCCAATTCAAAATGTATTTTAACGATAGTGTATGTAATAGGCCGGAAGATATATGCAATTTGTTTTAATGTTATATCTACAAAATTATTAAAAGTCTCTCGGACTGTTGGGATCTCCAGAATATGTTAGGTATTTATGCTGTCTGATGCTCAAGAAATTTGATGAGTCTAAGCATCGAAAAATGTAACATTATTTCTTATCACCGAAAAATCGAACCACTCATGTTTGACTATGTTCTCTAAGGACGTTGTCTTGAATACGTTCAACGAATTGAATCCGTTCAACGCAAGTTTGTGAGATATATTCTTGGTTTCCTCAACTGGCATGACCCAACAAACTTGCCACCGTACGAGGAGCGTTGTCGTCTCTTGGGAATCGAACCATTAGAGATGAGAAGGACGGTCGCTCAAGCTATGTTCGCTGGAAAGCTGCTTACGGGTGACATTGGCTGTCCAACACAGCTGGCTCAGCTAAATATGTATGCCCCTGAGAGGGCACTTCGTCAATGCGGCTTTCTGATTTAGGAACCACGGCGCCGAAATTATACACAACACGAGCCAATTCGAGCAATCAGCCGGCAATTCAACAACTTCTTTTACATGTTCGACTTCAATGTATCAGCTGACGTGTTTCGTCATCAGTTACTTGGCCTTTACCGTACCGCTGACCATAACTATTTATTTTAAGTTTTATTCATTTAGACAATAATTGTCAGTTGAATTTTTCAATATACAAATAAATAAATAAACAAATAAATATTTATTTTAAGAAAATTATACAACATATTCGGAAGCAGATCGTGATCGTGAATATTTTAGGTTTCATCCTGAATTTTCTAGTGACATAAGCGTCAGTCAAGTAAATGTGCATGAAATTTTGAATGCATTAAAACATTTAGATGCACTCAAAGGTTCTGAACCCGATGAAGTTCCTCCGGTGCTTAGGAAAATATTAGCAGCTGAGCTCCATTATTTTAGTTTTTTAATATGTCATATGGAATCCGAAGACTTCCCAAAAATATGGAAAAATTCATTTCTAGTGCCTATTTTTAAGTCTGGGAAAAAAACTGACATACGTAATTATCATAGTATAGCCATTTTTTCTTGTATCCCAAGACTTTTTGATGCGGTTGTTAATGATAAATTATATATCCAAATAAAACTGAATAACTACTATGCAATACGACTTTTTAAAGATAGTTCGAAGACCACAAATTTACTCGAATTCTTTAATTATTCTCTGGAAGCAATGGATCACGGAAACCATGTAGAAGTTTGGTACAAAGACTTCAGCATTTGATCACATTGAAATACCTATGCTTCTTTTTAAATTGCAAACAATGGGAATCCAGTCCAAATTCCTCAAATGGCTAGAATGATATCTGACCAATCGCGATTAAATAGTAAGATTCATAGGAAACAAAATAACCCCTATTCATGCCCCATTAGGATTCCCACAAGCTATCGATTAAGACCTCTTCTATTCATTCTAGTTGTAAACGATGTATCCTTTATTCTTTAAAAAAAACGATTCAGCTTAAATGATAATATGAAACTTTTTTTAGAAATTAAAAATGCCGAAAACATCAACACATTCAAAACTGAAATACAGATATTCCACACTTGGTGTAACAAAAGCCTGCTGCAACTAAATGTAAAATACGTAACTCAGTTACCTTTACTAGAAAACGGAATATATCCAATATAAAAATTATTTTAGGACATCAGAATGTTGAAAAATGTGAGAAAGTTAGGGACTTAGGTATTATTTTAGACTCTAAACTTACATTCAGTGATCATTATAATACAACTATAAACAAAGCCAACAACATTCTAGGCTTCCGCTTCTGCTTTTAATTTCATGATCTGTATACGATAAAAACATTGTACATTGCTCAGGTCAATACTAGAATATTGCAGCATAGTTTGGTTTCCCTTTTCAATCATACATAAGAATAGGGTCAGTACAAAATCAATTTTTATTATATGCACTATGTACTTCCTTTAGAATCTTATAACGCTCAATTTATGCTCAGCAACATCCAAACATTAAAAGAGCGTCCATCTTTGTAAACAACATTGTTTACAAGTTGCTCGATTGCGTGAAATAAAATACAAGTTTACGCGAATGAATGTTTACATCACAATGAAAATTTGGAATTTTTATCTGTTTACCTATTGATCTTTAAATTCTCTACCAACTTTTCGTAATGATCCTACAATTGTCTTCAAGCTCTATATAATATTCAAAGTGTTTTTTTTATGTTACTTCATACACGAAGTTAGCGATTTTCAGAGTTGGTTGGAATTATTTTAATTTATTAGCTAGAGAATGATATCTAGAAGAAGGTAGGTGGATAGTTCCGTTAGAGTACGGCAGTATGAACATTCAATAGAAGTTGAAAATGAGCGAAGGGCCATTAATGTGACAGTATAAAGTCAAACGCACACCTTTTGCCTAAGTCTAGGCCTGTAGACTTGAAGACATACTTCAAGTCTCCGCGTATGGGTTAGGCAAAAGGTGTGCGTTTGACTTTATACTGTCGCATTAATGGTCCTTCGCTCATTTTTAACTTCTATTCAATTTTCATACTGCTGTACTCTAACGGAACTATCCACCTACCTTCTTTTAAAGATCATTATCCAGCTAATAAATTATCATACTAAAGCTTCATGTTAGCATTTCCAACAACTATCTATATAATAGTTATAAGAAGTCGCTCAAATTTCTCTCCATAAATCTGTATAAAATAAATTTTTGAAATCTACATGACTGGGATTTCAATAAAAATCAAAAATTTAAACAGAATATTGAAATGTCCAAGATTTAGTATCTATCTTATCCTCAGTAGCTGGCAAATTATCTAAAATCTTTAAGATTCAAGTTTTCTGAATTCTAATTTCAAAATCAATCTCTCAATTTCCAAATTTCATTCTTATGAACCATACCATTCGGATTACTTTCGGTAGGTGGTATTGTATTCTGTAACTTTGAATGTGTCCATAATCATGTAGATTAGAGTGGGTCCACATTACAACCCCATGCTCCCCACTGCTTTTTCTATGTGCACTGAGGTCAACAACGACTGCGCAAAATTTTAGAAAATGTGGTTATGATTTTCATTTAAGGGAGAATTTTAAATTCTGTATGGGCAAATGTATGGAAAATTACACGAAACTATTTATTTTCTTTTTTCAACAATTGGTCAATTTTAACCAAACCTCGGACATAGATTGTAATGCAGAACAATGTTGTCGAAGTTTGCAAATGGATTCGACTCTGCATAAAAATTTATCACCCAAGTACTTCACTACAAGCTCATAATACGCCTGTAGGTAGGTCCTGAACAATAAGCCTGTAGTAAAATAATAATAACTTTTTTATTATCAGAAGCTAAAACGATTTTCGGTCTTCCACAAAGTTGTTCTGCATAGTATTTCCAATCTAAATCCAAAGTTTTGGTTAAAATTGAGAAACTTTTGAATTTTTGGCAATCTAATGAATAGTTTCGAGTCATATTCAATACATTTTCCCATTCAAAATTTGAAATTCTCCCGCAAATCCAATACCCAATAATCAAATTCGTTCAAATTTTTCACAATTGTTAGTTACCTCAATACGCATCGAAAGAGCAGTGGGGAGCACACCCGATCAAATTCCAAAAAACTTGCCGACGACCACATTACCGACTTTTTATGCAAATCGGTAATTGAATATTACATTTCTTGGTTGGATGTATGAGCCTTGAACACTATCATCCACCTCTTAAATGTATTGACATTAGGGTGGGTCATGTTTATATGATGGGTAACAACCCTACCCGAGCAAAGTCTGAGATCAAATTGAAAACTAATTTTGATATTGTGATGTCGCTGATAATGATTACTCAGGTTGCTGTAGTTTTAACGGTTAAAATATTTAAAAAAAAATGAGAGCAACAAAATCTTCCTGTGATATCACATTGAAAACTAATTCCGCTATCAATGAAAGCAAACTGAAAACTCAATTTGGTGCACATTTTTCCTGTTGATAATAATACAAGTATTCAGTTTGATGTTCTTCTAAGGCAATGAAAACAAAACCACAGAACTTATTTTTGAAGAGCATATCTGCGGTTATACGCATAACTGTCCCATGTACAGTAAAATTTCGCTCGTTGAGCTATGTTTAGGTGGGCTACGTTTTAGTTGGGCTCCCGTTAGTTGGGCTAGCCCACCTAAATCAAAGTCAAACGTCATTTTTGACAGTGCTATTTCATTTTCGAGGGGCTCATGTATGAAAAATTTGGATAGTTGCTAAAGGATTGTGATGATAATAAAAAATCGGTGTATTCCTCAACCAATTTTTAGCTTGACAGCTCAGCCCAACTAACGAAAGTCTTTCACTAAGTGGGCTACAGTTTTAGCCCAACGAGCGAAAATTGACTGTACTATGTAGTCCTTATGGTTCGTGAGACACTTATGCGTAAATAGGCAGATATGTACAGCAAAAAGAAAACAAAATTTGTAAACTGAAATCAAATTATATAAATTAAATTACAAATTATAATAAATTTGATTTCGATTTGCTGTCATTTTGATGCTGGACTTTGCTCGGGTTATGTATCATATAGTGACTAACTAGCTGTAATTTTACTGGCTGAAAGTCTGCCTTTACGTATGTCTCGTCATCCATGACGCAGAAATGTTATTTCGTCAACATGTATGTGTACAGTTTTATCTACAGCTACCGTCGTTCGTTACGGTTTGGCACATTCTGAATTTTGAGTGTGCATAATCCAGCCAGTTTCTCGGCCTTTTGCACCAGAGCATTTGAACTTGAACAATGCATACATTAACATACGTAACATTGATCGATTCTCATTCGTTAATACTTGGGATCAATGCCGTTTCTTGTAGTGTTTGCCATATTAGATGCTAAATAATAGCATCTTCCATCGAACAGTGTGTTGAAAACAGCTATAAATGTCTTACATGGCCATTGGGATGCAAGGAGAAAATCCTTATCCATTGTTCGGCTTGATTTATTCAGATTAGATTTTGGCCACATACCCCGAACGGAAGAGTTTGGTTTTCAATTGAAAGCACCCACCAGTTATTTGTGATCTTTAACACAGTACAAAACACTTTTTTGTCATCATCTTTGCTTACGATCGTAAAATATAAAACGTGAAATGTTCTCCAAAAGCAAAAGGAAAAAAACGATGTACTTAAATATTGTTGTAGCAATAAACGTGAAAAGATTATCAAAAAGGCAAAGAAGAAGCTAAATAATATCCAAACAAACTATGTTTCAAACGCTACGGCTAAGGTCCCATCTAGAAGACACGAAGCTACTAAAAATTACTTGAACTCATTTTATAAAGCCTTATAATAAATACTTTTTTTTTATTAGAGACGATTAACTGCACTAAAACAAGCGTTAATTGAGAACTGTTACTTATCTTCAGAATTATCCACATCCATTATAGCTCACATATATCTCATAGAACTTAGAACAAACGCATACCTGGAGTTATCCGAGAGATAGTGTAAATATGCCGATATACTGCCTGCACTCTCACCAAATACTGTGACATTGTTTGGATCTCCTCTAAATTGGGTAATATTTTCGTGCACCCACTTGAAGACTAGCAGCTAAAACGATTGGTAATAAAGTTGTTGCATTAGATTTATAACAAAAGGAACTCATTACTTGATCTTTCAATCCTGCATTTCCAGCGATGCCTGCACTGGGGAAACTGAGAAAGCCCAGTGGCCCCAGGCGATAATTCATTGTAACAACTATCACACCTTCCTGCACCAAATATGTAGGGTCGTAAAAGAAGCTGCTTCCCGAACCGGCCAGAAATCCACCACCGTGAATGTATATCATGACTGGGTACTTTTTTTCTCCATTGGCGCCAAAATCTGGTGTGAAAATATTCAAATACAGGCCTCTCTCAGACCCTACAATCCGATTGGTAAACAAGTCTCGTTGGATGCAGTCTCTTCGTTCCATTGCACACTCGAGCATGGGAGTGTCGAACTTTTCAAGCGGAACTGGAGGCTTGAAGCGTAATTTCCCCATGGGAGCCATAGCGTATGGTACACCCTTGAATAAGTGGTAACGTAATCCATTGGGCAGCTTGGCAGTTACTCCGCGTAGTTTTCCTTGACGAACTGACACTACTGGACGGTCCACTGAAGGCCACAGTTGAAGAAATTTTCCCTTGATCAAATGCGAAACTGCGCCGAAAGCAATTTTTAGCACGATCAACACGAGTTCAAACATATTGACGGAATTTTAGCAACGATCAACACTCATTTTTTTTTCAATTCCACGCACGCGTAAGCAAACTCGACCTATGCAATCGAAGACATATTTTACAATGCCAGCTTGAGCATCGTCTTGCCATGTCCCGAGCAACGCTGTTTATTTGCTACGATGCGACGGACGCTGTTCGACTTTACAATAGCAACTAAGCTGTTTACAAACCTGCCTCCTCCATTACAAACAGGTATAAGATTGAAGTAAATATTTACTATCGTACCAATTGCCATATATGTGCTTACGAGTAAGTACGGTAGTTTGCGTATCGTTGTATACTGCGGAATCGTAAATGCAATTGGAAATGCAATGTGCATTAAGTCTACGGAAGATAATTGAGTAGGGGAGACTGTGGTCACATTGTCCCTTACATCTGGACTTCTTGTTATAAACAATATTTCATTAATTATTCATTTGATGAATTTGTATGTCAACGATGCCAGGTATTGACATCAGAAGTTTTGTTTGTACTATTTTAAGACAACGAAAAATTCACGAGTTTCTCTGACAAAGCTTATACTTATAATATTATAATAAAGTTTTATAAAAGTTAATAAAAGTGAAGAGCTTTGAGTGGGTTGGTTTATTTCCTTTAAATTCCGTTATAATTGCTTATCTTTTGACAGATACGCGTATTTCGTCTACTGCTTGCAGACTTCATCAGTGCCAAGTACTCAACAACACTGAAGAATACATCTTTTATCTACGAGTCAAATACTAATCAATGAACAAAAAATCAGCAAGTATCCACTGCCATGTCACAATTTACCTAACCAGGTAGGGGAATTTACGTATTCTCGTCAATCTAAGCAGCGTCCGCACTTCTATTAGCATTTTGTCAGCATTACGCACATATATCACGTGTCTGTTTGTTAACATTCATCTGCTGCCTGCTTCTCTATCCATTTCAATCGACAGAATTTTTCAAACCGGTTTGAAAGCGATTTTACAACGCTCCAAACTTCTCAGGTGAGTGTGACTATTGTCGGCAGCCTCTTTTTCTTCGGCAACCTTCCCATTAGAACTGCGTGTTAACCAGCTGTTCTATTATCGGCAACTCGAAATCAGCCCCATTTTGTAGTGCGTATACTTCATTTGAAGAAAAATCTGGCATAATAGGATTGCTCAGTCGTACAAATATAATCAGATTGAAGCTGAAAGACTATAGAATCGTTTGAATACATTCAGGGAAGTGTGTTGATGGGAAAACATAGTGAAATTATCGTTTAAATTTTGGTTGCCGAAAACAGTCAATGGGTGCCGAAGCCAACATTTACCCTACCTAAATGTAGTATCCAACAGGTAGAGGCATGCTGCGATGTGTGGTTTTAGGTAGCATGCTAAACAGTCTCGAGTATCCGTTTCCTTGATCTCTATTAAGCAATGCTGATGGATTATGTTTAAATATTTCTAAACTTTCTGCTACGTCTAGTTTCGAAGGCGAAGATACACTCCGCAGGATATTAATGTTATCCTTTGTCAAATTGTGCCCCTTTGTAACGATATGTTCTGCACCCTTGGATTTAGATTCAGAAGTCCTTTATCGATCTCTTTGTTAGCGTTTATTACATCTGCGATGTGTTCCTTAAACCTTGTTTCCAAAGTCCTTTTCGTCTGACCAATGTAGATTTTATTGCTATCTGGACAAGAGATTTTTAGACTCCGGCCTTCCCTTAGACATTTATTGAATCTTTTGTTGATCCTAACAGTGACTTCAGCTAATTTGTCCTGCTACTGAATACTAAATCTAGGCCAAAACCTCTAAATTTTGAAATCAATGGTTTGGTAATGTTTTTGTCGAAATTCACCGCTACCCGTTTTAATCAGTAACAATTACTCATTAATAGGTAACAGATACTCATTAATGGGTAAAACAATTACTCATTTAATGAGTTAAGAAACTTTTCTTCAAAATGGATTTTTTAACCCGTTAATGGGTATTTTCAAGTTAGAGTGTAGTATATTATGAACCTCTTAGATAAAAATTAAATCACTCTCATTTGACATTAGACGCTCACCTTTATGGTACAGTTATGGCAACATCGTAGCAAGTTTTGGTTTCACAAAATACAGACTTTTTTTTATAATCGAGCTAATTTTTTGTTCAGTGAAGATCAATGGACATCGACCATTTTCGCTATAAAATTTCTCTACAAAAGCATGAAGGCATTCCGTAGTAAATTCAACGTGATTTCTAATGCTTAGTATTCATTCAGCATGTGCTGCTTTGGAAGATGTGTCGTTATCATTTTCCTGTTATGGGACGAAGGGGCAAGACATTCATCCTGAGCTTAAAGTAATTTTAACCTCTAATTAAAATTAATTTTAATTAAAACTGTATAACATTTCCACTTAAATTAATTCATTTCCATAATGGATTTTTTATCTTTTCTAGTTTAGGTTGCGTGGGAAGGCAAAGTGATCCTCTGTAGAGAAAAAAAATCTGAATTTTTACCATCGCGTAAAATTCCCCCTCGTTTTATTTTGAACTACAGTTGGCTTAAACAACAAAATCGTTCACAAGCTTGCACATGATATAGGGTAGAGCACTACTTCGTCGTAATCGCCCATTTCCGTTCTATCGATCAGAAAAGATCAATAATATCAATAATTTCACCATGCACAAATCAATAATAGGTTTGTTCCGATGCGTTAGTTCATTAGCTACAACATAAACCCTGTTAGTGCGCATTGTATGAATATTACGCTCATTGTTCTCAAAACAAAAGAAGCGATCCTAGCGAATCCCCTTTTTCTACGTTTATCCGTAGGACGAAGGAAATCTAATGGCGTTTCAATGCGTTAGGACGAAATTGAAACTGGTAGAACGAATTTAGAATCAAGAAGCAGTATTAGATTTTAAACAATATCTCAACAATTTGTGACTCTTTATCAAATTCAACGGTACGTATGGAAAGGTGAATAAATTTAGAAATTATCTTTGACAAAAATATTCCATTTTTCGTTCAAACTTGTTCAGAAAAGAGAGGTAAAGCGCGGGTTGCGCTTAGTAGGACGGAAATTAGATCAAAAACCCTAGCTAATTTAAGCAATATTGCACTTAAATTTACTTGAAATATCGTGTACATTTACGCCAAATCTAGCGTTAACTTTTCTTTACTTTCCTTCCGAAGGAAGGCGTGACCAGAGATGTTATGCCTCAGAACATCCCGGCGGCGCCGACTGGGATTGAATTACATAGCATGACTACCTCTCACCCCAGGCCTGCTGGGGTGAGAGGTAATCATGCTTACCACTACACCACCGGCGCCGCTGGGCAGACATTTCACCAGTTTCATTTAAACTATTGTGCCGATAAAACATTATGCATTAATATTGACGAATAACTCGCAAATAGGTTCCTGAATTCTGAACATAATAATAATTTTTGTCGTTTCGTTTTTGCGGGGTAGTTTAACCAGAACCAGAACCGCCGATACATACAAATTATTCAGGGTGTAGATATTTGGTGCACGTTTGTTTACAAACAAATGATTTTTCAATGATTCGTGCTTGTTTGCGCTTACACTACACCGGAGCTACACCGTAAATACGAAAACGACAATATACTCAAATTATTAATGACTATATTTCAAGCTGATTGCATTAGGTCCTAAGTAACATTGACAGATTCTCTTCGTCGATTTTTTTCTTTGCATCCCCATGGCCATGTAAAGGCATTCCCAGGTATTTTCAGCACACAAATCGGAAAAAGAAGCTTTTCTCTAGAATCTAATACGACAAACACAACAAGAAACGGTTATGTGCTCAAGTTTTTAACGAAAGAGAAAGTCGACGAAAAGAATCGATCAATGTTACTTAGGACCTAATGCAATGTTCAGCTTGATTTGAATTCAACTGTATTAATGTGGTATTTCCAAATTCACGTCGCCTTTGCTCTGCACCATTTGAAAAATTCATGTAATTTTCATTGATATATAGCTTACACGTAATTAACGCTAGATTTGGCGTAATATAACACGATATTTTAAGTAAATTTAAGTGCAATATCGCATAATTTAACGATGTTGTGTACAAGCTTGTAAACAATTTCTTTGTTTATGCTAACAATTGCTCAAAATTATACGAGGAAACATTTTACGCGATTATTAAAATTCAGATTTTTTCTGTGTAGCAAACAACGCACCGTGAGTTTTGCTCTCTGTTTACTCAATGCTTACACAATTCAAAATTATTACCGCCTTCGGTATTTTTTTTCCGAACTCTCATCAGCTTAACGTTCGGTAAAACTTTGACCCTCATTTCAAAAGCTGTTTCACTTAATTTTATTTCAAAACACTGGCAGCCTTGTTTAAATAATCGAGTCTTGGCATTGTGGTGAAGATTTCCTTGTTTTGAAGCTTTAAACATAATTAATTAAAATGCCTGGATTTTACCGAATAGTTCAACTGTGTAGAGTTCGGTAAAAATTACTGAAGTCGGTAATTATTCCTAAAAGCCCACCCACATTAGATCCGTTTGCGTTGTGTTGAGGTAAATAAGACAGTTAGACAATAGATTAAACTGTCACTTTAACATAACGCGTCATATCTGGATCTAATGGGGGTGGCCCTTAAGTGTCAATGGCGAATAACATTGCGGCCTTTTATTAGACGTGGTTGTTCATTTTGAAAAGCAAATACCACTTGAAACATTGCGCAAAGATGTTTTTTTTAAACTCTTCATTTGCTCCAAATTCAAAATAAATTACATTTAATTTTAACCTAGGTGCTCCAGTTACTACAGTAACTTACCAGCCTTATTTGTTATGATGTATAGCTAAGTGTTTTTACATTGTTCCTGCCTTGGCAATTCAGTATTTTAAACAGGTTTTTTAAACCTGCATGTCAGTATAACAATTGATAAAACTAAATCTTATCTAAGTATAAAGGGAATTAATCGTTGCACTTGAGGATTGCAACGATTTTTATCGGAAATTATTAATTATTGTGTTGGACATTTGTGCTAAAGTCTCAACATTCCAAATTCTATGTACTTCGGTACTACTGTACCAGGGAGGCAACTTCAAAATCATCTTCAGAACTTTGTTCTGAATCCTTTGAAGTGCTTTTTTTCATGGTAGTGCAACAACAAGACCATATTGGCACAGCGTAAAGCATGGCCGGTCTAAA